AGGCACCAGGCGAGGTGCTGAGGTAGGAAAGAAAGTCAGTCCCCGCCTCCCCTGCCCCGCTCCCAGTTTCCAGGTGCCTGCAACCATAGTGGGACAGAACACAAAGGCACAGAGCAATGTGCTAAGGAGCCTGGAAGGGGGAGAGTAGTTGAGTTCTACCTAGGGGTGCCTAGGATGGTTTCAAAGAAGAGGCAACATGTGAACTGGGTCTCCAAAAATGAACAGAAATTTGTTCAACAGGGCCTTATGCAAAGGAAGGAAAGGTGCACAAGTGGGAGGTGGATGGGCCACTACAGGATGGCAAACAGCGTGACTGGAACAAACGAGAAGATGGAGGTGTGTAGTGCAGGCGCGTGCGCGTGCGTGCGTGCGTGCGTGTGTGTGTGTGTATTTGAAGGACATAAAGGGACCAATCCAGCCAAGGAGTTTACATTTTACTCTTTAAAAAAGGGGGAAACTATTAGAGCAGAAGAGTAAGTGATCATTAGAAAGAGCCCTCTTGTGGCACCATGGCACATTGCAGCATGATTGGAAGGGGGAACACTGGCACTAGGACCACTAGTTGGGAAGGTTAAGGGGAACTTAAATAAGACAGCAGTCACAATGAGAGAATCACAAACATGTCAGATTGGAGTTGGCCATACTCAGAGATCAATATCTTTTTCAAATACTTTTTAAATCACAATCCACAATAAGAAATACATTTTAACATCATAACCCAGTGTGCATGCTTACACACGTGTGACCATGTGTGTCCCTGAATACATGTGTATAAATATGCATACATGTGCACACACACACACACAGAGATTTCACTAAATAGTAAGACAGTGCTATAGGCCCAAGGCATTATCAAGCTCACTATCCAACACAGGGAAACGAAAGCAATAAGAGATGTTCTAATAGCAGGTGTGCCCTACATAGATGTTTCCTTTGTATTGCTATTGATTTTAAGGCTATTGTTGACTTGGGACACTTAGTGTTCTCTGTGTTACTTAAGTAATGACTTACAACTTGATGTGACTTGCTGTTCTTTTGTAGTCTTCCCGGCTGATTCCACTGCGCGGCTTAATTAGGTATTCATGAGCATATATCTCAGCCAAGCTTACAGCAAAGCTGCTTATCTGTGCTGATTTCCGCATGATATTTCTGGAGTCAATCTGTTGCTACTCTTAAAATCAAATGAAAGAGGCTGCTATAGCCAACTGTTACTTTGCTTTACAGTGTGTTCTATAAAATGCCTGAAGCCTGGAACATAGTTTTTTTTTAAGCATTAAAATGTGATGCTAATTTTGATCTAGACAACCCTACTCTGCAGCAAGCCACCTGGAATGTTCCTTGTCATGTCACAGGCAAAGGGAGCGTGGACACTTCTAGCACTGAACGAGCATGTGCTTGGGTTCTGTCCATCTTCTCCAACAGGAGTTTCCTGGGAAACTCATTTACAAGACACTTTCACATATATCATCTTAATAGCTAACATTTATTGGCATTTAGTAATGTGCCAGGCACTGTGCTAAACACTTGATAGGCATTCTCTTCAAAACAGACCTATAAATACTGTTCACTTTATGGAAGATAAAACTGATGCTTAGAAAATCAAATAACCTTGCTCAAGGCCACAAAGCCATGAAAGGTTGAGCCATGATTCAAACTCAGGTTTCTCTGTCTTCTGAAACCAAACTCCTAACCACTGGGTTATATTTCATCTGTTCCTCTAAATACATTTTTCTGAGGCTTAGCAATGCCAGCTGATTTACTCTACTCCCAGCGAATGAGTGGTAATCCTGAGACTGGAACCTAAGCCATCAGTGGTAGGTCAGTGCTCCTCCACACTCTCCCCTGCCCCATAACTCAATGCCCCTGACACTGCCCTGCCAGCAGTATTCTCAGGCAGACAAACATACAGGAGAAAAAAGCAAGAGAGGAAAAGCTACCTGAGGTACAGGTACAGAGTACAGCTGACTCTCCCCCTTCTCTCCTCTCGCCCACTTTACCATTTAAAGTCAGAAGGAAAACAAGAGGAAAGAATGCACACTTAGATGTAGCACAGAAAAGGGAAACTAAATATTACTTTAGCCTAATTTAAGGCAGCTGTACAATCTATATGTTAGGAGGCAGAGAAACAGTTCAAATGACAGAAAAAAGGTAGTATATGGATTAAACAAGAACATGTGTTTAAATACTTAAAGACCACATTTTAACACGTGAAAGCCAGTAATAAAAATGGAAATACATAAAATAAAGTTAATATGCCTTTCTTTCATAAGAGACTACAGTAAGGAAAAATACAAAGAGAAATGCTTAGTACTGGAACCCCAAGAATGCAATTCTTCAATGAGGGAAGAAACGCCACAAATCAATCCATCCTGGTTATAAAAATGCACATTCACATAAGATAGATTTTATAATCCAATCATGCCGAGATCTAGAAAATAGATCAATGGCGTTTAAACAGTAATTAAAAAATCCTCTAAAAACAATATGAATAGCAGTGCCCAATGAAGTCTCACATGAACACTAAAAATGAATAACATCCAAAAATAGATTTTGAAAGCAAGCTGTGATAAAGCAATTTATCCTAATCTTCTCTTCCACAAAAAGCGATGATTTCTGTTCTAACTCTGGTCATGTACTTGTTCTTGAATCTGCTTTTTTCTCTGGCAATCTACTCAAGAATTTAAATAATTACTAGGCTTTATGGAGCAGTAAATTCAATATGTTTTTAAAAACCCTCTTAATTTACTTTTCAACAAATATTTGTAAATGGCATTTGATAGTAAGGCTTTTTTTTTTTTAATTTAAACACTGCCACAGACCAGAGTCCCAATCTGAGAGGCAGATTAAATGGAACACTACTTCGAAAGTAAAATTCATGATGATGAGTGTGCCAAGTGAAATTAGAAATCCACTAATGCTAATTGGATACATTCTAAATGCATTAAACTTCTGAAGATGTTTTCATGAACCCTTTGAAATTGCCCATTAACACCCATGCCTGGCTGCACTTTGGATGTACCCACAATTTGACATAATATAGGTTATTATGCTTAATAACTTTCGGTATCTCAGGGTGATTGCGTAAAGAAACGAGAAAGCTAGTGTGAAAGTACTACTTCTGAAAGGAAGGGGAAATGATATCTGAAAAGTCTTTAAGAGTACAAATAGAGGAAGCATTGTTTTATTTTTTCAAATATATAAATTAAAGAGCTAGATGGTCACCATGAAAACCTAATACACAAAAACCAGAACTTGTCAGCCTATAAAGAATACTAAAAACGTCATGGTTTTGCAGGTAATGTCAAGGAGCGTTATCAATCAATAGGTTATATTTCCACAGTGGTTGGTGAGTGAGTCAGGGGCCTCTGGGCACCACCTCCCAGCTAGCAAGATCAAGGGCACTGAAGACAATCCCATTAGTTCACACTAGATCTCTTGGCACTTCTGTCAGAACTGGAACCTGGGGCTTCATGAAAGAAAGGTCCACCGAGCAACACCAACGTTCTCACAAATCAAACGGCCAGCAGAGCAGAAAGAAAAACCCCACAGGTTTTGCATATATGGATATAAACATAAGGTGCTGACAGAAAAGGAAAGGAGGTGATTCCCCGCCTTAACTCCACAGACAGCTGCAAATGGATGCGAGACTCTGAAGTCACTGAGAATACACGGTTTAGGACAACCCAGAAAGACAGCATCATATAAGGAGAGCGTTGTTCCTATCCTGTGGTCCCTGATGGATGCACCTGTGAAATGATGCACAAGTATGCAGTGTTCATTACAAGTATGGAAGCAAAACTTGAGATTCCGTATACAGCTTTGTTCCAGGAACACCTGGAGAGGGGTAGCATCTGACCACAAAGCAGGGCAGGATGAGGAATGTTGGGGTCTAATGCGTCCCTGGGCTGGCCTTCCAGCTTCAGGTCGCCCTTCCTCGTCTCTTCTCCCATCCCATCCAGGGGGGTTAGGAGGACATCTGCTTCACTAGTGAGCTTTTCTTCCCATTTCATACAAATCTTCAGCCGGCTTAGCCTGAGCCTGATGCATGTTTAGTCTTCACAGAGGAGGTACTCAAGGCCAAAGATAACATGCAGTGCTTCTGTTTCACCTCCCAGAAAATACTTGTTGGGCGAGGAGGTAGACAACAAGCCAAATTCTACTTTCCTTAATGTAATGAGGACTGTCCCTATTGCACAAGATACAATATGTTTCCAATGCAAAACATCTATTTTTGCACATCTGCCCAATAGCAGCTCAATGAAAAACAGGCCCATCAGACTGACACAGCTGCCTTCACTGCTCAGTCCCTGTCACGCTGCATACAGCAGAGAAGCACTTCACGGCAGCCACAGGGCAATTTTCCAGGGAGACGTGTTCATCTTTACACAGTCATCTCATGCGGCCATCAGAGTAAACTCAATGACAAATCAGTTAAAATAAATTACTTTGAACTTGTATGGATCGGGTAAAAAGCAAACCATATGTGACATCTCTTTCGTCCTCCCCGTGATGGCTTAGAATTGTCACCATCTGTGTTATTTATTCTATTTGCCTGGCCTATAGCCCCCACACACCCCCAGATGCACTCTTTGCCCTTCTCTGTCCTTTGTGGGCCCCAGTAGGCAGACCTCTGTAGACCGCAGGCCTATGTCTGCATCAGCTGGGCCCAGCCACTGGGAAGCACGAGAAGAGCTCAGAAGCTGGAGAGGAGCGATGTCAGGCATTAGCCCCTACCCTCCTCAGTGCCTCTGCGGCCAGGGAGTCCCTCCTCCAGTCCCAGCTCTGCTCTCACTGTGCGCTCCCTTACTCTTCCAGGCCCAGTCCTCCCAGCCCAGCTGCTGCTAATCCCTGGTGCTTCCCCAACCCTGCCCACATCTCTATAAACAATCCTTCACGGCACACTCTTCAGTATGAAACAGTCTAAACACCTGTGGCTGGGCTGGGCAGGACCCTGGTGGACACACTGTCGGCAGCCAGGGCGCCAAGCTGCAAGCACTTACATGGACCGTGTGGACCAGGTCAGCCATCAGGCACTGCCTCAGCCTCTCGTCACTGCTGGTCCCGTGGAGCACCAGATCAGGCATGTACGTGGGGCAGTAACCCGCCAGAAGGGAGCGGCCAAAGTTCCTGACATTCGGGTTGCTGATGCTCTGAGACCTAAAACAATATTGGTCTGTTAGAACACACCATTAAAGATGGACTCCCTTCTGTGTTACAACTGAAACAAAAACCCAAGCCACGCAGGCCAGATGAAGGGTGGGCTGTTTCGCCAGACCTCCAGTAAGCAGATCACTGGTGCCAGAAAAGGGAAGGGGCTGGAAAAGTGAAGAGAGTTTTTTGTTTGTTTTTTCTAATGGTAGTATATTTCTAATGGAAGAAAACAGTATATTGGCGGCTGGTTACGAGTTTGTTCCTGTATCTCACAAGGCACATCCACCAGGCATCTGTGTCAAGGGAGTGAAGAAAGAGAAAGTCTATGGGGGAAGCCTGCCAGCTGTCTGGCTTTAGAAACTCGACACATCTGCACAGGGTGGTGCCCACAACAGGGCAGCAGAACAGAAGAAGTCTCTAATTACTGCTTTCAGTCATCACAGACCAAATCATCGGCCTGTGGGAGTGTTAGGAAGAGGTGTTGTTTCCCAGCCGCTTCACGCTGCTCTGACCGGCAGGAGAGAAGCGGCAGGTGAGTGCAATCCGCCTCCTCCGAAGCAAGGCGTCTGCTGCCCACCGTGCAGCCCCATCCAGATGATGGGACAGTACACGCCCTGCCCCACCACCCACTCCATCACATCCCCTGGTTCCCCAACATGCCCCAGTCCTGGCAAAGGTACCACCCGCCTCCTCGCTCAGAGAGCTCGATGCACTCAGCCAGTGGGCATCCCGGGAGAAAGGGCAGGCTGGAAACTATATCAGTTTGATAAAACTTCTAACACTTGGGGAAAAACAACTGATATGTGTGACAGCCAACAGCAGCTAACGTGGTCATGGCTGTGTTTGGACCCAGTTCCCTTGCGTCCCAGCCGCCCAGCGTTACCTGGGCAGAGGCAGCTCCACTTCCAAGGACTCTTCAGCCTGGTCGCCGCTGTGACCTAGATCCAGTGTGGCTGAAGCACACACTTCGTCATCACTGTCTCCAAGAGCGCTATCCGAGCTTTCGTTTCTGGGAATGTCTCCTTCAGTCCTGAAATCAGCCGTCCCGTCGGCATCCCCACAGGGGACATCTGTAGCGACGGAGGTGCCGGAGTCCTGCTGTGCACACTTGCCAGACACAGGCTCTATCAAAGGTCCCTCCCCAGCCTTCGAATGCAACCCTCTCGTGTTCTCCAGCGTCCTCTGCCCAGTTCCTGCCGCACTGGCATCAGGGGCAGACGAGTCGGCAGGGGGGTTGAGCTGCCCGGCAGCATCTGCTGCAGCCTCCGTGCTGAAGCCTCTGTCCTCAGCGTAAGTCCTGTCAAAGTCACCCTCATCCCCCTCAGATGGCAGATTCTGAGGACAGCAGACACTCTGCCGGAAGCCAGGCAGGAAGGAGCACCTAGAAACCTGCTGGTCCTGAGCCGCGTCAGCGGCCACCCTGGGCTCCACCAAGGGACAACCTGCTAACTCTGGATGCTGCCTACAGGCCGTGAGCCGCGCCTCCATTTTCTGAGCACGGCTTTCCAAGTCAGACTCTGGAGATACGGAGCTCCCAATCTGGAAAGTGACCTTTTCTAGGGGAGGCTTCTCCCGGGGAGGTCTGTCCGGGCAAGGCCAGGCCGCTGACCGGTGTGGGAGTTTCTTAGGCATCTCCCTTTTCAACTCCTCACTGGCCTTCAATCCTGCCCCCAAACCTTTCCAGCTGGAGAACCTGGAACAGCCATCTCCTGGGGCCTCTTTTTCACTTTCTTCCTCCCCACAAAATACATCCTGCGGTTTCCAAGAGCTGCCCAGGGCTGGGTCCTGGTAGTCCAGGCTGCAGGCCACAGAACTCTTGTTTCCTTCTGTGTCAGGTTGGGGACAAAGGTCTCTGATGTCCTTGTCCTCTGGGGTCCCAGCCAGGCCCTCGGGTCCGGGGCTCCTTCCCTCAGCAGTCAGTGTTGCTGGCAGGATGGGGGGCAGGAGAGCAGGCTCACTTCTCACCGTGACCACCACGTACTCAGACTCCTCCACCTCTCCCTTCTCCAAGGCTGTTGTGATGTTGCTCCCATTTAACACCTGGTCCCCTTCTCCGTGATTCCCATTCCAGGTCAGATGGTTCTCTTGCAGCTCAGAGCAGCGGAGAAAGTAGGTCAGGACGTAAAGTATGCGCTGGACCAAATCCTTCTGCTTCCCCACCACCACGGTGCGCGTCAGCCTAACTGGAGAGCCGATGGCTCCATAGAGATCACCTGCAGAGCAAAGTGGACACAAATACAAGTAATCAGGGGTGAGCGTGCCCTGGATATGTCGGCTTTTACAAGAGAAAAACAGATGACTTACAGTCCCAAATAAGAATTGCTTCTTCACACAAATGATTGAGGAAAACAAGTAATGCCTAGTAATGCCGTGTTTTCGTTTTGCGTCTATAGTGGAGAGTCTGTCTGAAAAGGCGGGGCATGACTGCAGCATGCTGCTCTTGTTGCAAAGGGTCAGCACTGCTATATACAGCCATTATAGGTCTGCCTACCCATCTCACTGGCTGGCCAACTCTACCTCCCAAGGAAGGATAAAGTCAGAGCCCTGAATATGTGACCAAGTCAAATACTGTATCTTGGAAACTAGAATGATGAGACTTTTTAAGAAGAACCCCCGGACAATAGGCCTGGAATGAAATCCAAATTCAAGGATCTCTGAACTGAAGTGCAGTGAATCAATTCAAAATACTTAATGAATGGCCTGTTCAGACTTCTCTCAATATACACACATGCACCAAGTAGAATCAATTTAATTAACAAGAAGAAAATCACTTAGTCACAAATAATATGATTCTGAATATGAATGAAGCTGAATATTTCTATTACTTCACATGAAAATTCTGCTGGAAAAAATATGTCCCATAAGTTATAACCTAACAAGTTGATTAAAAACTGGCTAATGAACCATGAACATTTGGCTTAAAGGTAGAAGAAGGGCAAATGTGTCAATAAGCCCAGCAATATAAACTTTTCATCAAAAATACTGGTTAATTCCTGGCTAGGTGACTCAATTGGTTGGAGCTTCATCCCATACACCAAAAGGTTGCAGGTTTGATTCCCAGTCAAGGCACATACCTAGATTGTAGTTACAATCCCAGTCAGAGCATATATGGGAGGCAACCGATCGATTCCCCCCCCCTCTTCCTTCCTCTCTAAAATCAATAAAAACATATCCTTGGATGAGGATTAAAAAATAAAAGTACTGGTCAAGTGCCTATTAAAATTATTGCATTTGATAAGTTACATAATTGATACTTTGATAATAATGATGAAAATTACAACAAAAAGCCAACATTTACAGACTGTGCAGACATAGTGCCAAGTGTTTGACATGGATTTATCTCATTTATACCTCTACAGACCCAACCCTGAGTTAGAAACCATTACGGGAATAATCAAAATGTTCTAATAAATCAAATTTAAAAATATTCTAAACAAAGGAGAGGAGAGACAAGATAATAGTTATAAATAAGAACTCGGGAAGTTAGAACCCATGTGAGGAGTGCATCTAGCGAGAGGAGGGAAGGCATTGATAAGGGCACACGATAGATAAACTAATGAATGATAGGCTAAGACTGGGGCAAGCACTTGCCCTGGGGAACCCTTGGGAAGTACCTCCTATAGAGACTGTCCCCACGTGTGAGGCTACTGCTCCTAAGAACTTAAGGGGCAGGGCAGAAATGATATTATACAGTCCTCTCTATAAAAAGGCTAGATGAGAGGCTAATAGAGCTTTATCTCTGAGGCTTTTGCAACTGACTGAGAATTCAAAACAATAACTCAAACTGCAGTCTGGTGCTAGGACAAATACTGAGCTCTTCTCACTTTGCAGTGATTACACTGCCCATTGCTGCAGGGCATCGCAGCTGTGACAGGCACTCATGGGACACTTGTTCAATCAGTCTCAGTGTGAATACAGAAGATAAGCTTCCCACATCTGAAATCTGGTATAAAAAAATATCACAGAATGGTATTATTTTTCAATGCATTTAACATTTTAATAACTAAGTCGTAAGTTTAAAAAAATAAAACTAAAGATGGCGATTAAAAACAATTTATAATAATTTAAACTCTATTAAGTAATGAGAATAATGTTGTGTAGATTCTGCCATTACTGTAGGGCCAAACTTCATAAAAATAATGCATCATTTAAAAAATACCTGTAATGTTAAAGACTTCCTGGATCTTGAACTCTAAGGTAATTTTTTTGAGTCCAGACTGACAAAGCTACTAATTTTAGAGTAGATTCCTTTGTTCATCTGAGTATAATTTTTCAAAATGAAGGCGAGTTGCATGACCATGCGAATAGACTTAACATCACTGAACTGTACACTCAGAAATGGTTAAGATGATAAATGTTATTTTCTGTGCTTCTTTGTTAAGCACAATTTAAAATACCAAGTTAAATTTAAGAAAAAAGAGAGAAAATGGGAGAAACACATAAAAAAGGGGGGGGTAAAGAGACTATAGGTGAAACAGAGAGAGCAGAGACAGAGAGTGAACAAAGCAGGGAGGGGTGCAGACAGATTGAGAGGAGAGATCAGGGAAATAAGACAAATAGGGCGACTCAGGGAATGGACACTAGAGAGGGGAGACAGTGAGGAGAGGAACAGAGAGGGGACCTATGGAAGGAAGAGAAGAATAGACAGAGGGTAAGGAGAAGAAAGGAAAGAGAAAAGAGATGGGGAGTGGAGAGGAACAAAATGGTAGAGAATTGGAGAAAAGCTCAGAGGTGAGGAAAGCAGAGAGTGTAAAGCATACATAGGAAAAGAAAACACCGAGGAAGAGGGAAAGAAGATACCAAGGGAAACGGAAAAGACAGAAACAGAAGTAGAAAGAGAAGGGATAGAATAAGAGAGGGGGAGAGAATGAGGTGAGAAGCTGAGAGAATTCAGCAGCATTATAAAGGGGAGGGAAAACTGAGAGGGTGGGAGAGGTGGGGGGACATGGAGATGGAGAAACAAAGGCAGACAAGGAGAAACTGAGAAAATTAAAAGGGAGACAAGGAGAGAAACTAATTATCTTAAAGGGCCCCTTATTCTTTGATTACATTATAATAAATGTGTATATGCCATGAAGACCCTTTAAATACAGTTGCCCTAATGCTAAGCATTATAATTTATTGCCTCTTTATTATCATTTAGCTCAAACCATTTTGTAATTTCTCTTGTAAAGTGTTGTTTGGCTTTCCACAAATCCTTGAGGTCATTAGATCAAAAAAAGACCCACATGAAACTCCTTCAATCAGTGATGAAAGACAGTGGCTTTCCAACTTAGTATACCCATCCCAAGAAAGAAATGCATTTAGACTGCAGCCTCACACTCCCTTGAAACAACCAGTTTATAAAACACGTGTGTCACTGATATTTTCTATTCTACTGTACTTTTTAAATGCTCTTTTGACCTACTGAGCAGCTTGCACACCCACTGTTGGGTGCTTAGCCACACCTTGGAAAACCTGTGTGCTGAGAGCACGTGTGAGGCATAAGTGGGGAAGGTTAAGCCTCTGAGCAGCAAACCCAGGAGAATGTGAAGGGGTTGTTGCTTCCAGCTTCTCTCCTTGTTTCCCAGGGAATGCAAGAAACCAGGCAGAAGGGGGCGCAGCAGTGGTACTGTTATTGTTGTAATTAACTCATTAATATTAATAATAGAAAGAGAGCAAAGTGACGGCTAGTGATTATAAGCATGGTCATCTGGGCAGCTTCACCAGGAAGCTACTGCTTCATGGAACCAACGATCCATTCCCTGCAGATCACTGGGGGAAGGGTTCCAACAAATGGGGAGACCGGCACACGCACAGTGAAGTTGGGGTGACATGGGAAAGGTACTTGCCTGTCAGTCTAGCCAGAGGAACAGTGGATTGGCTAGAGCGTGGACCCCATCAAAAGCATACAAAATCTTGAAAAGTTAAAATCCCCAAAGAGTTCCCTCTCTCTTGTTCTTGCTCGCCTGCTCTCTCTCCACAGCCATGTGGCCTTAAGCAGCCACATGGTCCATGGTCATGCGGACCTCACACACAATGGACTGCAGCTGAGAACACAAAATAAGCTAGCCAGATGATGGACTAGACTGGACTTTTATATGGAGCAGAAATTCTGGGTAGTGACATTAATTGTGGCCCTGCTAAAGAAAAGATTAGACTTCTTCCATGGTGAGTCAGATGAAGATGGGAACTTAGAGGGGAACCCCCTTAATCTTACATCATCAATAAAGCTTTCCACGACACCCCATCCTCCCATGGGGGCCTCAAGAAATTCTTTTCCTCATGGCAAACTCCACTACCACTGGTATCAGATGGCGACCCAGATAGGACCCACGCTGGGAAGAATATTGGCTTATGGAAAACATCCCTCCACTTCCACTAATAACAGTACCTATCCTGCTAAACTCTCAGATATTCCTTTAAAATAATTCAAGATAGAATCTTCTCTATTACTTAGAACCTGGATTAAAATTATATCTGCATCAGTGTTTATTCCAGGCAATTTATATTTTCCTGTTTTCTGTGATTTGGTAAACAGTCAATGAAAACATAATACTAACTGGAAATAAGCATCTTTCCCTGTCAAATTATTGAAGCCTCTTGATTTTTTATAATAATAGGAACCTAACCATTATTTACACTTGACTTTATAAAGCTAAGGTGTGACTCTGCACCAAGACCTTATCCCTTCCTCACACCATTTTGTCCACAGCCTGACACTGCTGCACTGTTTGAAGGAAGGGAGCATGGGAGATTTAATTATACATGATCTCCTTGGAAAAGGACGGTGAGCCCATAGGAAGGGACTTTGCCTTGTTAAGTTGAATAAAGGGAATTAATGACTCTCAATTAATTAAATTTCAAATGAGAAGCATGTCTAATTATAAATACATTTATCTAATTAGATGCATACTACTTAATTAGCATTGTTTTTTTTTTTAAATATATTTTATTGATTTTTTACAGAGAGGAAGGGAGAGAGCCTTCATAGTGACCAGTTGATGATACTACCTTTCTTCAGGACTATTGTTCTGTAACAAGAACAATAAATAATGTGCCCGCAACCCAGGTACATGCCCTTGACCGGAATCGAACCCGGGACCCTTCAGTCCTTATAAATACATTTATCTAATTAGATGCATACTACTTAATTAGCATTATTTTTAAATGGGTGACCTGGCAGCATGTAATCATGTTTCCTTAACATCCAGCCCTCTTCCCTTCATAGTGACCAGTTGATGATACTACCTTTCTTCAGGACTATTGTTCTGTAACAAGAACAATAAATAATGCTCTGCCTTCCCCAGGAAGAATCAGATGACCCACAGTGAGTTAGGCACGCTCCGAATACTTTTGTGAACTCAGTACTGATCGCTTGTATTAAATACATTTTAACATTCTTAGATTCTTTATTAATTAACAAATTCTTTATTAATTCATTGAACACGCATCTATTATCCCCCTAACGGTGAGACAGGTATTCTCTTTCTTACACATCTCATGATCCAGGGCACAAGGGCAAGGCATCTTTATTATCTATAAAGTGAGGGCAATAGTAATAGATTTGTAGTGAGAATCTAATTAGTAATATGGGTAAAAAGCACTTAAAACAGTGCTTGGCTCACAGTGACAACTCTCATTGTTGTTATTATAACATGTTGTTTTCTAAGACCTCCAATATTATTTTCAGCAGTCGCACCAGTAACGAATGTGCTTTATATATAACTAATTGAATTCCCACAGCAATCAGCAACTATTTTTGCCCTTTTTTATAGATGAAGAGACTGAGTCAGAGAGGTTAAGTCACTTGCCCATGGACACTGGGTTTGATCTGAGCAGTTCTGCTCAGCACTCATGCTCTTAGCCTTTACTAGTACACTTCACAGTTTCTCTCTTACATCCTTTCTGCACACCCCCATCAAAGGACTACTCAGGACATCCTGAAATCATCTGAATACAAATCTGCCTCCTCTGTTAGACAGCTCGTTTCTGGAGGCTAAGCAGTGCCTGTTATTCAACTCCATATCCCTGGCATCTAGCACGGGTCTGGGACAGAGTGAGTGTGCAGATTTTACTTTGTCACTCTAAACATTTGATAAATGAGTAGTTCTATAGTATAGCTCTCCTCCATATGAACCCAAAATATGCAAAATTGGTCTCATAAATACCAAACTCTGTACCCAATTCTGCCAAAGCATTAAGATTCTTATACCATGCTTCAGTACTAAGCTTTGAGGAAATAATGCCACCAACTAATTGCAAGGAAGCAGTGTAGGAAAGGTAAGGTTTCTGACTTATGCTAAAATTTAAAAGATGGTAAAACTGTATGTACTACTTTCTTTTTTGTCTTATTTTTCTCCTATCCAGTTCATCTTCTAGAGCAGTGGTTCTCTGCCAGAGGGTGTCTTTTCCCCATACCCCAGGGGACACTCAGCAACGTCTGGAGAAATTGTTTACTGTCACAACTTTGGAGGGGAGGGGGGCTTTTCACTGGCAGCTAATGAACAAAGGCTAGTGATGCTTCTAAACCTCCTACAATACACAACACAGCTCCTCCACCCCTAACAAAGAATTATCTGGTCCGAAGGCTGATAATGCTGAGGTTAAGAGACCTTGCTTTAGGGCAGTGGTCGGCAAACTGCAGCTTGCGAGCCACATGCGGCTCTTTGGCCCCTTGAGTGTGGCTCTTCACAAAATACCGACTTCTGCGCATGGGCCACGAAGTTGAAGTTTCAATCGCACTGTATGTGCGCACCTGCACGTGTGTATTTTGTGGAAGAGCCACACTCAAGGGGCCAAAGAGCCGCAGTTTGCCGACCACTGCTCTAGGGTGATTTGCTGTGTGGTCTGGGAGAACAGAATTTACTACAGAGCTTTAAAAGAGTAGAACAAAGCTGCTAGCAGGGAATGGTGAGGAAGCTGGTAGCATCACAATTAGAAATCTGTGGGCCAATCTCCTATGCCCTGTATCACTGGGTTGAATAGTTAATATCAATAAAAATTCTAGCATTTTCCCTATTCTGTCCCATATAGTCTCTGAATAATCAAATCAGGTACTAACCCAGCTGTGCCCAGAGAGGATTATACGGATGTGTTTTGGCCAGTGTGTTCACCGACTGAGAGGTGCGTTTCTCTGAGAAGGCTTTAATGGGAGGGTGATCAACAGGCATGACAGTCGGTACCCAGGCCAGGTGGTAGGTTAACACTGCAGTCAGTAAGGCAGCAAAAAACCTTTGAGAAATGGAAGAAAATACAACCAGATGAGTCAACGCAGGAAAAGGCATGTCATCTACAGAACATACATTGGCCACAGAATATGCACACCACGTTACAAAGAGCTGAAGCTTACTGGTTTTTGTTGACCTGTTCTATTAGGAGTGTGAACTCCTTGAGAAAACGCTGACAGAGCTGGGTTTTTTCCAAAGTGCTGGACATCATGGTGAGCCATACAGGTTCTGCTATCCTTGGAACAGAATATAAGTTCCAGATAGTCCCTCTATGAAAAGAGAAGGAATATACAAAACTGTCACAAATATTATTTTGAATAAACCGATATAATAAAGAGCTAATATGCTAATTAGCACATCTGGACGACCTTCTGGATGAAGCTGGGGCTGCGAGGGCCGAGCCCCTTGCACGTATTTCATGCACCAGGCCTCTAATCTTTATATAAAGGAATAAAGGAGATAACAATAATCTGAATCTATGTAGGACTCAAGGGACTCATGCAGAATATAAAACCGGGGTCATCAAACTATGACCCACAGGCCAAATCTTACTGTCACCTTTTTGTAAATAAAGTTTTATTGGAACACAGTTATGTCCATTCATTTACATATTGCAGCTTTTGCACAATGGCAAAGTTGACTAGCTACAAAGCACATCCATTCTCCCCAAATCAAAATAGCTGAGACATATTCTGACTTGATTTTCTAGGCCGTGTGCATAAAAGAATTGAGACACAACAGAATTCCACCTTGTCAAAAAACAGAGCATTTGCCAAGTTGGGTAGCAATGACAAGTTACTGTCACATGGAACTGGGATTCATTTACTAAACCTAAGGTCTCCAAATGCTAATACTTTATTTTGTCCCCATTTCTGGAGGGATAGGCTGCTGAAATAAGAACAAGACCTCTTTATGTACATTGTAAGTGAGGCTTTCTGGTTCTATACTTTCACATTCTTGACCTCTGAAAAACTGATACTCTCATTAAACTAGCAGCCAAACTCTCAAGCACAGGCCAGCTTCTGGCGACCACAGCAGAGCAACAGTCAACTTCAGGTCTATCCTCACAAACAATAGAAGGTTTACTAATCATCAGACTGCCAGCAAAAAGCACAACTTCACACTACCTATTTCGACATAGGTGGCTTAGGTCTTAACAATCACCAGATAATGACTAACATGACTTAAGTACTTTATACATAACCCAGGACTTATAAAAGACTAGAATTTTGCTCCAAGGGGTATAGACTTCACCAGCATATACCTGAGCATCACAAAAATCTTCTAACAATAAGAACTGTAAACTTTTTTGTCCCTCACCTACAGAGTAACATTGACTCATTAGCTCCTGACTGCCTTGGAATGGGATGTCATTCCCCATCGAGAAGCTGGCTCTAAGAAATGGTGTGACAATCCCAACTCAGCAGAATCCCTCGTGCTATCCAAAGCAGGTTACCTTTACACCCAGACATTAGGGACAAGGACTCTAGAAAACTACTGTCCAGAGTACAAAGATCATCAGTTAGAAACTAATAATGAAAGTGCACTGTAATATAATCATATAATTTCATGTCTAGACTAGGACATTTGTGGGAGGACAGTGGGTATAAACTGGGCCTATCCTGGCAAGCGAGAATGTATATCTCCCTGACATAGGTACTCTCTCCATCTATGCTTTGGACAAGATCCTTGAACTCAAGTTTCCTCATCTGTAAAATAGGGTAATAGTGCCTACTGTTAGGGCTTTTGTGAGGATGACATGAAATAATGAACAGGCTTATAAGAGATACCGAAATATTAGTTTTATCCATTCACCCTGTTAAAAAACAATACCAAAGACTGTCTGTCAGGCAGTAGTAAGGATAATTTGGTGCTGGGCGACTTAAATTTTTTGCTCCTTTGATCTTAGTTTCCATCTTAAAGGAGCTACTAAAGTGACTAAAAACTGCCAGCCCCCGATTCTTCCAAGTCATGGTCTCTATGTCTCCCTAGATCCATGGCTGCCACTGCTACTCACCAATTTGTTATATTGACAAACTGTGAATTTACCTGAATTCTCCCAGAGCCTCCATCAGACGGCTGACATAAAACTGGACTCGGAGACTTGATTCTGCTATCTTCCTACAGGAGATCATGGCCTTCATTGAAGAGAAACACACCAAATTACTCTCTGGCGAAGAAAACGCTGTATAACTGTCTACTAGGCTTTATTAATAAAAGATAATATCATAATCAAAACACTCAAGGTAGTGATGCCTGAAGTCGTCAGGAAGCAGTAATTTCCTCTCCTAAAGCCATGCATTATCTGATATCAAATATCAATGATTAACATTCTCTAGGAAAGTGATCTGATATCTGCATAGTCTTTAAAGACCCATAATCCCTTCTCTATTTGAATAAGATTACATTCTCATTACCTTTTCAATTGCACTCTTCAACCTGTTCATGTGAGATTCAAACAGGGGGAAGTGAGAAAAAAAGAAGTCCTGGAAATCCCTTTGGGCCTCCTCTTTTTCGCACAGGGAAAAGATGATGCTTATGGCGATTTTCTTCCTCCGAACGATGGCTGGATTAGAACTACAGGTTTCTTCAGCCAAGCTGAATGTCTCATCAGTTGACCTGGAGGAAAGTAAGTTTGATAAGTCGTATCAGTGCATCACACTGAAGATAAACTCTGATGTCAGGGGGTGACATTCAGGTGGCTAATCCAGAACACTCAGAGTCTTAACCAGGAGTTGATCTACCTCTAATTTACTCTCTTCTGTAATTCTCTGTCATGAAAATATAGCTTACAACCTAATACTATCCTGACATGAAAGTAAACTTAAAACTGAAAACAATTTCAAATGTCCCCTTGCTAGATCCTTAGTACTTTTCTCTTGGACTGTGCATCAGATTGGTGGTATTTAGGAAGAGGTGTGAAACATCTGTTCACTCAAAACATGGGCCCTTTGTTCTAGTTGATAGGCACCAATAGGTAAGAATGTGGGAAGAGAAATGATCCCAGGTGGGATTCCATTTAATCAAAGGTCATATTTGGATATTTGCTGGTAGTTGAGGCTCACTTTCCAGGCTGTTCGAATTAGATGAAGTTACTTCTGTAAATACTCGATTGAGCCATGTGGCTGATCTGGCGCCCTGGGAAATCCCCAAACAGAAAGATCCACCTCTCTCCTGGGATAGTCAGGTTCTCAAAAAACTTAACATTCTTTTGAGAGACTCTGCTTCTATGACAAGAGAATCATGAAGCCAATAAATCCTGAATATATATTCAAATATGGGCCAACCATGTCTCTTATTTAACTATTCTCAAAAAGCCAGCATAACTGCCAAATAGCTATGATCAGTAAGAGAAAAGAAAAAAAAAAAAGAGTTGTTTTTTTCTACCAAAAAAAAAAAAAAAATCAAAGCCAAGGACATAACATTGCAAAGGAAAGCCCCTAGCCTGGCACGTGGTAGTTGTGCAATACGTTTTCTCTTACTCATTGACTCCACCATTTAGACTCATATCTCTGCCAAATATGGAAGGACACCACTTCCTCCATTTTCTTTACTACAAATTACAACACAACCATTATGCTTTGCAGGATTCGAGGCAGTTAGCCTCCCACTCCTGGTCTTTAAATTTTCATTTCTTGCTCTACTCGCAATCTATAATGTGCCTGTGATTTCAATCATACTCGTATTTTAAAAAACATACACACATCAAAAGTTGTATGGTCAGGAACGCTATTTTATTTTTAAAGGAAAGGAGATAGACATCTTGTTCTAACCTCAGAGAAATATGTTATTGTTTCTCTTGACTTCAAGCAGGATCCCAGAGATGTGGGTGTGGTCGATAAGTCAGTAAAGGCTCTCACTAACAGACATGCCTCTGTAAGGACCTGCTCTCCAGAGGCTGTTGCAAATGTGACACCTTGTGTTAAACCATCACCTGTTATCTCTGAGAAACTCCTAGATCCTAATCATCTGCTCACTAGAAACAAATTCTTGAGGCTCTTAGAATTTTACGTAATTTCATACAATGCTCCTTCTTCTTTTCAAAAGTACCTGTACTATAATTTGTTTCCCTACATCAGTTTATTTCTACTCTGAAGAGAAAATTCTGAGCTTATTTGATACCAATACTTCTTTACAACCCTTTTTGTCTAACTCCTATTTCCCTTCTTATTCAAAAGCAAAATGACCACATCAGCCCATTCATCTTCAGCCAATGTGGTCTTAATAATCAAATGGCAATAAACACTGAACCCTATGCAGATGTATGCACTGTCTTCATCTTTACCCTGTAAATAATAACTATCCACTTCAACGTAGCAGAGAGCGCCCCCTACTGAATTTCTGAAAAACTTCCACAGCTATCACAGTATTGGGTAGATCTTACTTGCTTCACTGTATCTCTACACTGAATTCTAAAGTAACTGAGCTTCATTCTGTAGTCTTGGATCAACCAAACAGGAATAAATCAGGTCATGTGGTATTGTAATTATATATTTAACATTATCCCACAAAGAAAAAATGTTTCTGAATGTTTTTAAAAATTCAGGTATGCACCCAAATAATTTATCTTATCTTTGCCCTCAGTCACCTACAGGTAAGGTACCATAGACTGTTTCTGCTAATGTGGAAACTGAGGCAGAGTGATTCATCAACATGCTGTCCTGGATTCTTAATAATTTTATTACTGAATCTGTAAGTGAAGTATGATGGGACAATGGAGCATGTGTGTGAGCAGTAAAGATACCAGACTGCAGAGTGTGTGGTAGGCTCAAGCCCCAGGGCATGCAACCCAGACAATGAGTAACTGGCCTGGTGGTCAGGCACACACACACATGTCTGGGCAATCCAGGGTGCCACAAGGCCCCAACTTGGCAAGGCTGGGACCGGGGCCTAGCTTGGTGGCTGACGGTGGCAGCAGCAGAAGCAGCAGTGGTCACGACCATGGGCGAGAGGAAGGACTTAGGCAGGGCAGTGACCCATGGTGGGAGGGCAGCTTGTCCATCATCATCAGGGCCCCTCCCCATGAACTCTGCACAAATATTTAACTCTCTGACCTAAGCCCCAGAATAGTAAATAATCACCAAGTAAGAGCCTAGAGTGGACACCACAATGAAGCATACCAGGAAGCTATTAAAATTCTTCAGAGTTTATAATCTCTGGTTTTGAAAACTGCTGCAACATTATAAATCAAATATCCACAGGGACAGAAATAGAAAGTAAATATAAAGATTGAGGCATTATCCCTGGCTAGGTGGTTCAGTTGGTTAGAGCATCATCGCATGCACCAAAAGGGTGAGGGTTCAAGTCCTGGTCAGGGCACAGACCTAGGTTACAAGTTTGATCCCTGTTTGGGGCATGTACGGAAGGCAACTGATCAATGTTTCTCTCCCACATCAATTTTTCTCTCTAAAAATCAGTAATAACATATATTCAGGTGAGGATTAAATTTTTTTTTAAAAGATTGATGCGAGAAAGACAAGTATCACATGATCTCACTTATATTTGGAATCTAATGAACAAAACAAACTGACGAACAAAATAGACCCAGAGACATTGAAGCATGCAATAGACTGACATATTTTAGAGGGGAGGCGGTGGGAAGAGATTAAACAAAGAATATATATGAATATGAATATATCTATCTATCTATCTATCTATCTATCTATCTATATATATATATATATATCCCACAGACACAGACAATAGTGCAGCGAAGGCCTGGGGAGGGAGTGGGAGCAGGTGGAGGAGAGCAATAGGGGAGAAAGGGGGACATCTGTAATACTTTCAACAATAAAGATAAATGAAAAAAAATAAAATAAAAAGATTGATGCATTGGACAGAACCCCCCACCCCCAAACAGACACTATGTTCATATGAAGCTTCAGATGAAATTATTAACAAGGAAGCCCAGTATAAAATTAATTTTTCCATACTGTTGAAGATGCAGTGATAGAATGCATAAGGCATTCTAAATTACATGCAACTCATAAAGACACTTTCAGTTTCTTTTAAGACTTCCAGCCCTGGCTGGTGTGGCTCCGTTGGTTGAGCATCATCCCATGTACCAAAAGGTTGCTGGTTAGATTTCTGGTCATGGCACATGCCCGGAGTTTTGGGTTCAATGCCCAGTAGGGGGCGTGCAGGAGGCAACCAATTGATGTTTCTCATATTGATGTTTCTCTCTCTCTCTCTCTCTCTCTCTCTCTCTCTCTCTCCCCCCCCCTCTCCTTTCCCTTCCTTTCTCTTAAAAAAATCAATGAAAACATATATATATATGTGTATGTATGTGTGTGTGTGTGTGTATATATATATATATATATACATACCTCCATAAGTTACAGAAAATGTCAGAGGAAACATTAAAATAATCTTGTATAAATTTACATTTAAAATTAAATTCAGACTTACACAAATGGATTTGAGTGAAGAATTAAATCTTTTTAGAAAAACTGTTCCACAAGATATACTAAAATTTATGCTTTGAAATTTTATTAGAAATGTATCTCAATGTTGTCATAACTATAAAGTTCCAGTATTAGCTGCATCAGCAGAAAGATCTTTCTCAAAATAAAAAATTATCAAAAATATGTGCCATCTTGCATTTGCCAGGAGTTACTAAGGCTGCTTTAAATTATATTGATTGATGTATAAATTTTGATAACCTATACAAATGAACTTTCAGAAATGTGAGCCAGAAAAATCTTATGATGAATGAAGGTATCAAATTTTCTTTTGTTAATCCTCACCGAAGAATATTTTTCCATTGATTTCTAGAGAGAGTGGAAGGGAGGGGAAGAGACAGAGAGAGACACATTGATTGGCTGCCTCCTGCACTCGCCCAGGGATGAAGCCTGCAACCGAGGTACGTGCCCTTGACCGGAACTAAACCTAGAACCCTTCAGTCTGCAGGCTGACACTCTATCCACTGAGCCAAACTGGCTAGGGCAACTACTATTTTTTCTGTTACATAAAATTGTAACACCAAAGTATTACCTTTTGCAATTCATAAATTTGTTTTGTTCATGTGTCACTATTATTCCTATTACGTTTTGAAAGTAAAATATTTTTAAAGGGGAAACTACATTTTAGTATACTCTTTAATAGCACTTTTTTACAAGGGCTCCTGTATTTTCATTTTTTGAGCCCAATATATCTATTTTAGGTGTAAGTTTACTAGAGATTCCTCAGTTCCCAATGCCAGGTCTCAATTCAAATTAGAGTTTTTGAGGAATTTTGAAGGACTTTTAGCGGCATTTGGGTTATTGGGATCTGGTTTACAATGAATGAGCAAGTCCCTTTCAAAAGGAGGTTCTCCATCTTCGTTTCTGAATATGACAGCAACCTCGGTTACACGGGGAGAATTATATCTACCTGGGTCACTGTTATCATATTTAATTGCCATTGTTACTTCTGTGGGAACAATACCTTTTGCTGCTGCTTCAGATTGGGCTTCCTTTTCTACCTCATGTAGCATCTTGTACGATTTTGTTAATTCATTTATTTCATGCACGAGGTTGTTGATGTTGATCATGAGTCTTTCTGAGCAGCCCTGGTTTTCTGGCATTGCTAATCTTTTACTTGTAGCTTCGGCTGTATCCGAAATATAGAATTGAGCAAACTTCCGAGAAACACCATCCGAAGATGTAAAGTTCCAGTATGGTGATAAACTTGTCCGTGTATTCTAAAACAGTATGGCCCATATTCTGATGGCAATGCAATATTTGCACCCATGGAAGCAAAAGCAAAAGAACTATTTATGGAACGAATATTTTCCATGAAATTTTTACTGTCAGAATCTTCGTTTGTCATTAATCTTTTTAAATATGCTGGGTAATCTGGAAAATGTATATCATTTGGACAGACTTTCCCTTTGCTACAACATCGAGTAAATTTCCCATTGATGGTTTTTCATCAGAGAAATTTAGCGATAGGCCAAATTCACATCGAACAGTCATTCCACCACAACTGTTCAAGGATTGCATCCTCATGTACTCCATTTTTGCTGAGAAGGCAGTTCCTACCAGTATTGGTAGTACTTGTTGATGACTGTTCTCTAGACATATTCTGTCGTCACCACCGCCTTCTTTCAACTTCAAAGTCATGTTGGTCTTTAGACATTTTCTGTCGATAACTCAGGTGTTTTTCAGCATCAGAATGATGTTTTTCCAGTAGCTGGTGTTCAGATACATCCTGTCGCAGGCGCTGCCTTCTTTCAAGATCAGACACACGTTGCTCTGCAGACATTTTCTGTCGATAACGCCGGCATCTTTCGGCTGCAGAGCTATGTTGTATCAACAGTTATTCTTTAGACATAGTCCTACCTCTCTACTGTCACGGTCTGAGATGCAGGTGAATGAGAGTCCTGGCTGTCAGGCCGCTGAGAGCTGTCTGACCAAAGGCTGATTCTATGGGGGTGGGACTTCCTCCTCCCTGCTGTCAGTTTCCACAGCTGTGATGAGGAAGCTGGGGTGACAGAGGGAGCCACGCCCTCGAAACCGCCCTCTCTCTCGCTCTGCTTTATGTCCAGCGGCTTCTTGCTCTGCCAAGTCCTCCAAACCTCCCGCTCTCCTGCTCTGCTCTCTGCCAGCAAGGTCCTGGGAGCCCGCGGGCGTGGCTACGGCCTCACCTCCTGGGGCCGGCAATGGTTCCGGGAGCCCGCAGCCGCCATCGCCTCCTGGGGCGCTTGACACCTGCATATGCAAATTAACCGCCATCTTTGTCAGGTTAATTTGCATACTCACTTGGATTGGCTGGTGAGCGTAGCAAAGGGATGGTTAATTTGCATGTTTCTCTTTTATTATATAGGATTTGTGGTATATATCTTCAGACTACCCAAATGCAGGCAAGCACCTGAATCATCTTTTACTTTCACAGATTCCCTACACATGGTGAGTACTAGTCAATTTACTATCAGGCAATTTACATGTGAGTTTTCATAGGTACAACCTATCTTGATTCCCTTTTGAGTTACTGGGTTGTAGAAAGAAGAGGTTGGAAGCTATTGACGTAACATCATCATAAGCCAAAAAGATGTATTTTGAATATAACTAAACTTCAGATCTAAAAGCATGCCAGGTGGGTACTAGAATTATCAGGGGGATCACTTCGTAAATTATACAAATGTCTAATCACTATGCTGCACACATAAAACTAATGTAAAATAATACTGAATGTCAACTGGTAATTAAAAAATAATAAAAATCAACTGAAATGAAGGCAGAAAATATCTTGATGCCACCTCTATTCATAATCTGATTCATGACTGTTTAGTTTAAGAATTCAAGTTTTACAGAGAGAGTATGTCCCAATCTTTGAGTTCATATATTTTCACACTGGAGTCACCATAACCCAAGGAAGAGATTTATTCCACCCTCCTAATGTACAAGAGCTACATTTGGAAGGAAGCCAATGAAAACATAGAGCATACTCATTTTAAATGAACACCATACATAGTTTATACACGACACAACCATCTGGACAATTCCCAGTGTATTCCAAACCAGGAGATTTTTATTGTTCTTTTTATTTGTTCTTTCCAGAAAACTTTTAACTTGTAAACTCTCAGGCTAAACTGAGGCTCATCAAAAAGTGTTAGCTCTCTTGTTCCCTTGACAATAGGTGAGCTCAGTGTCCTTCCAGCCCCACCAAGCTGCCTGCACCAGTCCCCTTCTCAGCAAGAGGAAACTTGCAGCTCACCTCCTTGGAATGATGCCATTTTCCAAACTTGTTGTCTGACTTCGAAGCCAGCGCCGCTGGTAGCTGCTAGAAGAGGACGTAGAGGAGCTTGGAGATGGGAACGGTGTAATCAAGAGGCTGCTTAGGGAGGCTGTAGGGAGGAAAGTTAAAAGTTGAAAGTTGTGGTAAATGAATACTGTGTAGCTAAATAAAAAAATACATGCAAATAACCTAAATTTTTAGGTTCTACCAGTCATAGCCAGGAGGGGGAGACATAACTTCTCCCTTATTAAGACTTATGTACAGCAAAGGAAACATCCTTTAAAAAGGAAAACAAATGAAGAGAAACAGGGATTACAAACCTAGCAAGTGCATCAATTACCTGGCCCCATATTATGAATGCAAAGTAATTATTACTCATTCAATTAGAGTGCAGAGTGCATATTGCTCATAAAATGGTCCATATATAACATAACTGATTATATTGCCACCTGGTAACCAATGAAATATTTGCACAATGTTTACTTACACAGGTGTAAGTAAATCTAGATGAAATATAGGCAAATGAGTATTTGCTCCATGTAATATCTTCTCTCCTGCTGCCCATCACCAAATACACAATATTTACCCCGCCTTCCCCCCGCCCCACCTCCAGTCTCTAATCTTAACCCTTTGCGGTCCAATTTTATTTTTGGAATTCAAACAGTCTGATCCAAATTAACTGACGGGATTGAATGTTGAACTGGTTTGCGGTGTCAACCTCAGCCTCGACGTTGGACCTGCTCCTAGCGCCTGGTCTGTCGAGTCAGCCTCCACGTTGGACCGAAAAGGGTTAAATCCATTTTCTGCTTGGATTACCTATTTGCCTCCGAGCCTCTCTCTGCTTCCTCCTGATACATAACACTAGATGCCTGCACTTGGGCTTGCAGTCAGTTATGAGATGGCATGCTGGCCCACACTTTTCTAACAGGCAGGGAGGGACTGGTCCATCTCAGGTAGGCACAGGGTTTCTTTCAAATCACAGTGGCTCGGAGGATGTCTAATGGTTTGGAAGAATGGAAGGAGATGGACTTTCCCCTTTTACTTCCCTAGGGCTAAGGAATTACATACTGAAATGTTACTCAGTCCAGTGGAAAAGGAAATGGGGTGTTACAGATGGCTAGACAACATTTTCAGAAGCAAATCACAGGGCAAAGGAAAGTGACTTCGGTAATCATAGTGGACTATGCTCACTGATATCACTTGACAAGGCAGTTTCTCCAAATGACTATTATATTTTTATGTATGCTTTACAGGCAGATGGAAATAATCTGGGTCTCTGACCTCAGTTTTTAAATACTACAAGAGTTACCTGGCTATTAGTCAATGTTCAGTAAGCTAATGCTGAGTGTCTATCATGTGCCAGATGTTGTGCAGGATACAGTGGTGGACAAGACATACACGTATCGGCCTGCATGAAGCTTCAAGTCTAGAAGAATATCAATGAGCTTTCCAGGCTATAAAATGTAGATGCTTTGCCCACAGCAGAGGCCTATGAGATGCTTTGTGTGCCTTGTACCCAGGACAGTGCCCTGAATACAGCAGACACTGAATAAATGTTTACTACATATACAGCACTTCTGCATTAAAGTGTTACCCAGATGTGGCTGGCTCCATCAGGTGGCCTCTGTTCCAATCTGGCTTCAGCCTTGATTTAAGCCTGGACATAAATCTCCAAAATCAAATCCACATTTCAAATATCAGTGAGTTAGTAATTTTACTGAGAATTTTGAAAGGAGATAAAAGAGTTTTTTTTCCTCAAAGCCACACAAAATTACTTAATAAAAAAATCCAATTAGAAATTTCTGCCCCACCTCCCAAGTTCTCAAAGTCTCCTATAAAATCCAAAAGGTCCTCGTTCCCTACTCCCAAATCTTCAGGGTCCCCTGTCTTCCGCTGAGCAAATACACTTCTGTTGGCAGGTGGAGGACAGTTGAGGGGTAGTACTTGTATTACAAACATTTTTATCCCAGCACAGAAGCAAGACTGTGGTGATATACAGAGCAATACAATTTATTCTGGAAATTGTATTGCTATATAATTCAGTTTAGTAAACTGTAAGATCCCAAGTTCCTAGTTCAAATCCCAGCTCTGCCACTCAGCAGCTGTGACACATGGGTAGGTTACTTAACCTCTCAGCTTTCTCATCTGTAAAATGGAGACAATATAGTATCACATCTCAGTATTTTCCATAAAAGCCGCAATCTGCTAGTGCTGTGGTCGGCAAACTGCGGCTCGAAAGCCACATGCGGCTCTTTGGCCCCTTGAGTGTGGCTCTTCCTAAGCTTTAGGAGTACCCTAATTAAGTTAATAACAATGTACCTACCTATATAGTTTAAGTTTAAAAAATTTGGCTCTCAAAAGAAATTTCAATTGTTGTACTGTTGATATTTGGCTCTGTTGACTAATGAGTTTGCCAACCACTGTGCTAGTGTGTTGTGAATTATTTAGTGGATTGAAACCAACATTTAAAAACAGTATAGTGCAGTGTTAATATTAATTGATGAAACTTTTGTTTGTTGTTTATAAAGATGTTACTGGATAATGATGTGAAATGCATTTGCATGTGTTACAGACAAAAAAAAGTTTGAAAAACACTGATCTATTTCCTAAGGTTCCTGTGAGAATTAAATCAATCCATATAAAACATTTAGTCCAGAGCCCCACACGATGAATGTTAGCTATTCACTCTCTGATAATTCTTGGAAAAGGTGGACTAATTAAGACATTTCTGAGTACTAAATGGTTATTAATGCTGATTGGCTAATTATGAAAAGAAACTAGGATTTGTAAATAGAGACATGAAAGGGAAGGCAAAAAATTAAAATAAAAAAGAGAAGAAACTATTCCTTTTCTCCTCATTAAAAAAATGCTTAATAAGAATGTCTATGGCATACAAATGAAATATTAAGCTAAAGTGCTGGCTTAGAGCTATCCAGCATTTCCTCATCAAAAATATCTTAATACTAGAGGCTGGGTGCACGAAAATCGTGCACTGTGTGTGTGTGTGTGTGTGTGTGTGTGTGTGTGTGTGTTCCTCAGCCAGGCCTGTGCCCTCTCGCAGTCTGGGACTGCTCGGGCAGGCAGACACAGACATCCCTCTTGCAGTCTGGGATCCCTCACTCCTTACCACCCGCCTGCAGCGGAGGCGGGAGAGGCTCCCACCACTGCCACTGTGCTCGCCAGCTGTGAGCCCGGCTTCTGGCTGAGCCGTGCTCCCTCTGTGGGAGAGCACTGACCACCAAGGGGCAGGTGCTCAACACAGTTGCCCCCTGGTGGTCAGTGTGCATCATAGCGACCAGTCATTCTGCCATTCGGTCGATTTGCATATTAGGGTTTTATTATATAGGACTAGAGGCCCGGTGCACGACATTCCTGCGCTGGGGGGGGGGGGGGGCAGGAAGGGTCCCTCAGCCCGGCCTGTGCCCTCTCGCAGTCCACGACCCCTCGGGGGATGTCCACCGAGGGGTCCTTAGGGCTGCCGCAGAGGCAGGAGAGGCTCCCGCCACCGCTGCTGCACTCATCAGCCTTGAGCCCGGCTTCTGGCTGAGTGGCGCTCCTCCTGTCGGAGCGTACTGACCACCAGGGGCAGCTCCTGCATTGAGCGTCTGCCCCCTGGTGGTCAGTGCGTGTCATAGAGACTGGTCGTTCCACTGTTCGGTCGATTTGCATATTAGGGTTTTATTATATAGGATTACTCAATAAGATTTTTATGGAAAAGTACTGTGGTATATATCAATCAGACACCCTAAAAAACAATAGTTACAGCTCTCAAATACAAAATCAGGCCTAATTTTGGCCCACAAACTACTGTCATTTTTCATGAGTAAAGAGTGGATCCAGCTATCCAATCAACATTTAGTGCATTTGATGGTTGGCGAGGCTCAATCTGAAAGGCAGTGCAGTGCGATACAACGCCTGAGCTCTGCTGTGCAGCCTGTTCACCTGAGGAGCTTGATAAAAGCAGAGCTGTGCGCTATCAGATGTCTCAGCTGGTTGGAGTGTCGTCTGGTACACCAACAGGTTGTGGGTTCAATCCCCGGTTGAGGTACATATGGGAGGCAACTGATCAATGTTTCTCCCTCTTACACCAATGTCTCCCCCTCTCTTCTCTCTCTAGAGTCAATAAAAACATATCCTAGGGTGGGGAATAAAAAAATAAATAGAGCTGCACAGGCTCTGCCCAGTTGATGCAAACTCCTTTTGCTATGGGGCCTGGCATCTACTGGATACTGGAGAGTTTTTACATGGGAGTTCAGTGGGGAGCATTCCAGCCCTAGCCGTGCCCCCAGTTAGCTCTGTGAGCTGGGTAAACAAATTCTCCAATTGGTTATAAAATATGAGACTTATAAATTATTCCTAGGCTCAATTTAAGCTTCAAAAGTGCTATGTCTAAAGCTCCTTAAGATTTTCAGTATACTTTTCTTTGTAGAATCCTTTTGTAATTAGAAAAAATGATAATACATACATGGATTACAAAGACTTGCAGTTTTGTGCGCTAATGAGAAAATAAAAATTAGTCAAAATCCCATCACCAGATTACTGTTAACACTGTGTACCTGGTTAACTCCCAATTTAAAAATTTGTGCTTTTCCCCCAACCCTCCTGACTGAGAAGAACTCTTCAACTAACATCCATTTGTTCCTGAAAAATGTACCATTCTGGTGGGTGATTTGATAACAGGAGAGGATATGCATGGGGTAGAGGTGGGGAAATCTCTGTACCGTCTACTCAGTTTTGCTGTGAACCTAAAATTACTCTAAAAAAATAAAGCCTATTTTAAAAAATAAGGTATTTTGAAATCATTATGGCAAACCTACAAGGGAAAAAGCTAAAGCTAAAGAGTCCACAAATTGTGAAATTGAAGAAAATGAAATATCCATTGCAGTAGAATATCAAAGATCTGCCTTGAAATAAGAGAAATCTAAAGAAATGAAGAAACTGAGTTCTTCCCAAGTTACAGTACAGATTGCCACGTTCACACATTTAAGAGAAAGCAAAGCCCAAGGTAAAGAGTTGACAGTAAAGATTTGGATAGTGTGTTAGTGACAAAGACAGAAGAATAAGCCAAAGGTGCCAGTTCCCAGTGATCCTTTCCCACACACCAAAAAA